TGATTTTTTAGGTTTTTTGTCTAGTTAAATGTTGCCGCACAAAATTGATCCAATGAGTTATATTCCTCTTTGCCTATTCTTTTAATAGTCATACATTTACTTTGTGTATGCGTGTGCATGTAGAAGCATATTTCTTTGTATTTTTCTTAAATCTTCTATTTTTGATCTTTGTATTTAATACAACTTGCGTAAATGTCTAATAATAACAAGTTGTGTGTGATCAATCTGAATCAGCACTTGTGTCTAATCACATTTTTGAATCATATTAGACGTTACATTATGTTGCATCACACATCAAACACCAAACAATGTGATGTGTCTTAACAAAAAAAATCAATAAAAGGGATTCGTCTTGAGCAAAAACCTGCAGAAAGAAACATTTGACCCTTTCTTACTTCTTGAATTAACAACAAATATCCAAGCAAGAGGTGACAAATTTTAAGTATGAAATTTCTTCTAATTATTAGGATGAGTCAATATCAATTTGTTGCTGCGTTAATACACTTATCCATAAATTAGACAGAGACTTCCTACTCTTCTTTGATCATTCTTCTTTTTCTTTTTGATTTTATTATGTAAAGAAAATTGTTCTTGCATCATCTATTTTTATTTTTATTTTTAAATTTTGATTATTTCTAGACTGGTGTTTTATTCTTGCGCGAAAGTCATACTAATTTTCTCTGTATCATTTTTATTTTATTGAATGTTCCCGAAGAGACCATAAAACGTCTAATTCAACAAAATAACAACTACTAACTCATTTGGTTGAAGGTTGCTTAAAACGATAAAAAGAAACAACCGTTCATTAACTGTATTAGTGTGAAAGAATTTGACAGTAGCATACCAATAAAAGAAGAAAAGTACCCAAAAAAAGAAAGAAAATTGAGAGAAATGAATTATGAGTATGATAGGTATGGGTTAAATGTTTAGAGCAAAACAACAGAATATGAAGAAACAAAAGAAGAGCCAATAATGGTGGCACGTGGCAGTTGCTATCAAGCATGGACTGTTTGTGGAATTGGACCCGAAACGCAATAAATGGATATTAATTGATTAAAAATGATGTTATTTTTGGCCTTTGCACATAAGTCCAATTATTTTTGCCCACAAAACATATCGCTGTTTAGATTATTAGGTCCCTACTCACACTTAAATATTTTAATTCCACAGAAATAGTACTCCCCCACAAGAGCTGTCATAATTTGGACATTTTATTTAGCATTTTATGCACTTAGTCTCATTCTCTCCATTTTATATTTTATTATAACTTAAAATAATTTAAATTTATATATGCTGACAATATAAAAAAAAAATTTTATTATTGGTGTAAATTAATTTAGCTTGTGACTAGCACTACCAGAGTTGCAATCAACGTGTGAGATGAGAAGAAGATGAACTTATTGTATTATTTAAAAAAACACAATAATGAAGTTGGAAAGTCAACGCTATCATGTTTTCCATCCTATTAACATTTTTATTTTTTCACCTCAGCTTATTCCAATTTGCTTTTCGTTCTTCTCAATTATAAAAGCAAAAGAGGAGATCTTTTTTCTGTCGACATTAAATACAAATTTAAAATTTTATGTTCGAATGTACTTGCATTTTAATAATTACTTTCTTATATTAGATTCAAATCCAGTACTACAATTTTTAAGGTGGGTTCTTGTAAAGAGGTTAGGGGAATAATAATAAATTAATAATAGCAAGTAACTGAAAGGGTTATTTGAAAGTGAAAGTTCAACAGTACTCCCTCCGGTCCTAATTTGTCTTGGGCACACCCACTAAGGAAATATTAAATTTTAGATAAAAATAATTACAACAACAACAACTACCCAGTAAAATCCCACCAGGTGGGGTCTGGGGAGGGTAATGTGTACGCAGACCTTACCCCTACCCGATAGGGCAGAGACGCTGTTTCCGATAGACCCTCGGCTCAGAAAAATGAAAATAAAAAAGAAAACAAGAAAAGACAACTTATTAGTAACTCCAGTAGCAACCGTAATAGTAATGGAAGCATAACAACCAAAAGATGAAAGACATGCAATAACAGTAACCAGTATCTAAGGCCCAGGGCTAAGATAAACAGCAAGTACAGAGTGTATTCAGCCTAAACTGCAAGCTATCTAAGATCAATCCTAATCCAACCCCGCCTCGCCCCCGGAACGAAGTAAGGAAAGTGCTACTACTCCCTAACCTACAACCCTAATGCTGGACCTCCAGACTTTCCTATCAAGGGTCATGTCCTCGGAAATCCGCAGACGTACCATGTCCTGCCTGATCACCTCCCCCCAATACCTCTTAGGCCTCCATCTACCTCTTCTCGTACCCACCACTGCCAACCGCTCACACCTCCTTACCGGCGCATCAAGGCTTCTCCTCTGCACGTGCCCGAACCATCTGAGCCTTGCTTCCCGCATCTTGTCATCCACAGGGGCCACACCTACCTTCCTCCGAATATCCTCATTCCTAATCTTGTCTATCCTAGTGTGCCCGCACATCCACCTCAGCATCCTCATTTCTGCTACCTTCATCCTCTGGATATGGGAGTTCTTAACCGGCCAACACTCTGCTCCATACAACATGGCCGGTCTAACCACAGCTCTATAGAACTTACCTTTGAGTGGCAGTGGCACTTTTCTAGACAAAAATAATTACTGTGACTAAACTACATTTAATTAAAGGTTGAGCATAATTTAATGTGATGAGTAAAAGACTTTTTAGGAATACGTATATAAGGGTAATTTTGGAAAAATAAATTGAATTTTTTTTTGATTATATAAATCGACACTTATTTTGGAATAAAATAAAAGGACAAATTGGTCATTTATTGTGGAACGGAGAGAGTAACAGTTAAAAGCACGATGATACGATCCCTTTTTTCCAACAAAGACATGATTTCTATCCATTCGCCAATAGAAAAGGAAAGCAACCTTACCTTACACAGCCTTACGAAAACACTTTCAATATACCATCTATGGATTTCGGTTCATTCATCTTCCTGTTACTTGATTTCTTCAACATAATAATTAAGAATCATAGACATTATTGCAAGTTGAAATTCCTCCAATTTGGGATATACTCGCGCACTCATAATTGAAATGGTAATTTATTAAACAAAATTTGTAATTCAGTTTATACTGCTTCATTGGTTGTCCATAATGAATGACAGTAAAAGAAGCTATAGATTGCTTAAATGGGTGGAGGTCACATCATCCTGCGCTCGACAAATACACTATTTCAGCCTTCGAACCAAAAATAATTAAATTGAAGACAAAGATTAAGATGATACATAGAATTATATTCACAAATATTACCGCATGGTTGGGGTCGGCATCGGAGGTGGGGGTGAGGGTGGTCAAATTTCACATATTACTAAAACAGTTTTATCCAGTGGCGGATCTACATGTTATTTTTGGGTGCTCAAGCACCTATTATCTTTGATAAGATTTAGTAAATTTGTATAGGTAATTATAAAAATATTTAGATAAATATTGAGTGAGCACCTATAACTAAACTCTTTTTCCTCTTCTTTCAGAATTTTTATCAGTGAGCACCCACGACTTTAAAATCATGGATCCGCCACTGATTTTTATCACGATAAGTTGAACGGGCTAAACAATTTTGGATTGAAATGGCCAATACTTAGTCTATCATATGTATATACATATATATGTTGATTATAAAAATATATCAAGATACAAGAAAAACTAACAAATAATAATTGTAAAATCATGGATAGACCATTTGCTTTTACTCCTGGCCTTGCATTAAACTTTTGTACCTTAAAAACACAGATAGTGGAAAAAATTCATTGTACTTGGTATCTTAAGACTAGGGCAGCAACAAAGGAAGAGCAGCTCATAATTCCAATTTTGATAAATTCTTACGTATGTCTCCACTAACTGTTGGTATTCAACGTAACAATTTAATATGTTGGCAGCATGTGAAAGCACAATCCACTTACCATTTTAAAATACACATATAGTTTATAATTTTAAAAAATTACTTTTACATCCACAAGACAGTAAAGATTATAATGATATTTAGCAATTACTGGCTTAAAATTCCATCTGTTTTTTTTTTTCTTTTCCATGCCATGTTTTTTTTTTTAACCTTAAAAATAGTTTTTGACCAGGAATAATGTATCTCGATTAGAATCTCAAATTGCGTCTATTATTCCTCATTTGTGAGATTCAATAGGACTTAGGAGTTACTCCCCTTGGCTTCCTACCCGCCGATGTTCATGCAATAGGTCCTAAATCATGTACTAATAATATCTAAATCATGTACTAGCATCCCTTAAAATTATATTATGTTGACCACTTTAATATGACAATCTCCTAGGTCATCGTGCCCTAAACATAAAATTGACTTTGTATCAGGTCAAACTTTCATTTCTATTCACCTTCCTTTTCGCTCTCTCTAGGAGTCCTATCTCGAAGACTTTGACCATAAATATGGGTGGTTGAACTTAGTAGTGAAAATTGAAAATTCATTGGGTTAATGAAATTACGGAAAATGTATTTAACATATTGCAATAGCTAATATGCTTTATTTTTTAACTTACCAATTCAATTATACGTAAATAGCTTTATGATAGTTAACCTTTTAATCTAGAGTTCTTTGATCTTTTACCTAGGTAAAATATAAATTACAGTGAAGGGTTGCAAGTTACAACCATTTTTAATAGAAGAACAATCTCTGTCAATGTTCTCATATACCTATGTGAAAACTTTGTCAATTCTCAAGGTAAAGTGATAAGATTTCTACCCTTTATTAACTTGTAGTGTTCGTCCAACCCACATGCAAACTCAACCAACCTTATTTACAAGTTTCATCTCTCCCCTCTTTATTACTCATCTTTTCATTTCTTTATTGCATGTAGGGTCTTCTCCCCCTCATCTCTCTTTCTTTTTCTTTCCTCGTAAGAACAGAAAGAAAAGCTCAAAAGCATATAAAGAAAGAGTATTTTTTTTTGTTCTCTCTCTGGAAAGTAAAGAATGGAAGAGTGTGAAGTTCAGAAGCTGCCTGAAAGGCTTACACCATGCAACAGTGGAAGAAGGAGAAGCTGTGACTGTGACTCTAAACATTCACCCGAATTTGAGTTTTGGATGGTCCGAAACCCGTCTTTTCCTCAGCCCAACCAACTCTCTGCCGACGAGCTCTTCTCCGATGGCGTCCTTCTTCCTTTAGACCTTCTCCAGTGCCATTCTGCGGAGGACCCACTTGAAGCAAATGGGCCAAATACTTCTTCTTCACACCATAAAACTGAGCCTGAACCATCCGGGTCTGGTCGACCCGAACCCGAAACAGAACTCTCTGCGTCGATAGTCAACACGTCGTCGGGCGGCGGTTCTTTTACGTCATCAAAGCGTTGGAAGGACATTTTCAAGAAAACCGAGAAGAAAGAGAGTAATGATGTGACGAAGGAGAAGAGGAAAGAGAAGAAAGTTGTAAGTGGAAGCAATGGGGTGAGTACTGGTGCTGAGCTTAATATTAATATTTGGCCCTTTTCGAGGAGTAGATCCGCTGGAAACGGCGGAAGCAGACCTCGGTTTACGGGTGGATCCGGTTTGGCAAACCGAAAGGTGAGTAGTGCTCCGTGTTCCCGGAGTAACTCAGCCGGTGAATCCAAGTCAAGAAAGTGGCCCAGTAGTCCTAGCCGTGGTGGGGTTCATTTGGGCCGCAGCAGCCCAGTTTGGCAGGTACGCCGGAATCTCGGTCCAGGATCCGGTAGCCGGAGCTCCGATAACCTCGTGAAAACTGCTGAAAAAGCACTCAGAAAAGAAGCCCCCCTAAATGAAAGCAGTACCAACAAAAAGTCAGTTAAAAAAGACGGCGTTGAAGGTCGCCGGAAAATGTCGTCGGTGGCGGGCGGTGGTGGTGGGCCTAAAGCTAGAGTCTTGAACTTGAATGTTCCTATGTGCATTGGTTACAGGAATCAGTTAGGTTGCAGAAGTGATGAAAACAGTGCCATTAGTGTCGCCGCCGCTGCCGCCGTGGACGGTGGTGATCAGAGTGGTGTCGTGGTGAGCAGTGAAGGGGTACGTGGCAGCAGTAATTTATTTAATATCAAAAGTCTATTTACGAAGAAAGTCTATTAAATTAATACTGGTAAATCCAAATTAGTAATACACACTTTTTTGAATATGTTGGTGTATCTATCGTTATCCTTCTCTATATTCTCATATGTAACTTTTTGGTATATGTAAAGTCCTAACTTTTGACGTTTGCAACTCTGCATTTGTGTAATATATAGGGCTCAGTTTCCTCAACTTACTAGCTACTTCTGTTCAGTAGTCATACTCTCTTGGCTATTTTCAGGCGGAGTCGGGATTTTGAAGTTAATGGGTTCATGATCATATTCCTTCTAAGTTATTGGGTAAATTTTTAAAAATAAATACATAATTTGGATCAAAATTATTCCAAATCCGCCCCCGGTCAGGTTGAATTCATTGTATAATTTATCCTACTTTAGTTTTTGCTCTTGCCTTCTTACCTTATTCTAATAAACTCCGCTTTCAGCTGACTTTTAACTGTTTTAGTTATTAAGCTAGTGATTAGAGGTTCATATATTTTCCTTAGCGACGACGTTGCAGAGAAGGAATTCTTCATCTTCATCAGATGATTACTAGTTTGGTTATTTTGTGTGAATTCTTTTTCTTTTTTTTTTTGGATGTAAAGGTAGTGTGCAAACTTGCATATACCTAATACTGCGATTTTTTATCAACACAAATATTGAATAATTCTGTCAAATATGTAATTATCTAGTATAATATTTTTGTCTCTTTTAGAAGTTGAACCTTAGTTTCTAAATATTTTATTTAGCTTCATTGACTGCTAGACCATACTTATTCATCGTGATACATAGGACTCATTTGGATATAAATTCCCAAATATTTTTGACAAAGTTGATTCGGGTGAAGTTTGATTTGAAATTGAAAATGTGTTTGAACATTAATTCTGGGACAAGTTTTGACATGTTAGAAAAACATTCTTTTTCTTCTCTTTTTTCCAACTAAAAAAACTCAAATGGTCATGGTTTGGCCCAAAAAGAGGTCTTAAGCTATATTTGGGATCTGAAGTTTTGATTTTCAAAATCTCCCAAAAACTAAGGATCCGTTTGGCTATAAATTTTGGCTACATTTTGGCAAAATTTCAAATCCCAAAACCAGTTCAATAGCTGGTTTTGGGCCAAAATATTACTATTATATTTTTTAAAAACTGGCCCCAAACTTTCATATTTTATAAAAGAGCTCACCATTTATTATTTTGTAACAATGTTGCTTCGTCTTCTCGGCCATTGATAGTGTATCATGTAGTTCATTATAAAAATGATAATTTTGTACCAAATTTATTTATGTTCAGGACTATGGTTTGCCACAATATAATGAATGTTATTGATAAATGGTATTGTTGGGTATTTGTGGCAGTTTTTAGAACTTGTGGGTATAAGTCATGTTTCATGTTTTTCCAAAATAAATTTGGAAAATATGATATGAAAACTGATGTCCAAACACACTTTCATCTTCAAACCAAACTTCACCCAAATCAGATTTTTCAAAACAATTTGGGAATCTATGGCCAAACGCTAGCTAAATTAATTCTATGAACAAACATATATTCGAAAGAAAAAAAAGACTTCCATAACTTATGGCCAAATGCCTGCCTAAAGAAAATAGCAATATTTGATACTTGTACTTTGTTACACACTTGTATTGGATATGGAACGGGAGAAATTCAAAAATAGTTAGTTTTACAAGTGATCGTTCAAAAATAGCCCAGTTCAAAAAGTAATCGAAATTTAGCCACTTTTCATGTAAAGATAAATCTGAGCAAAATCACTGTTCGAAATCCGGAAAATACGCCAGTATATTATGCTGGAGTTCCAGCATAAGTATACTTGAAATCCAGCATATTATACTGGAGTTCCAGGATAGGTATGCTGGAACTCCAGCATAATATGGTGGAGTTCCAGCATAAGTACACTAGAACTCCAGCATAGTATACTGGAGTTCCAGCAAGTATACCGGTCCAGTATAATATGCTGGAAGTTCATACACAAGTGCTCGAATCTCCTGTATATTATGCTGGAACTTTCCGTATGTTGGAGATCCAGCATAATATGCTGGAAGTTCATACACAGGTGCACCGAACTCCAGTATATTATGCTGAAACGGTCTCTGTTGCAGCAAAATAATGGCTATTTTTAAACGTTGGCTATATTTGAATGACCAATCCGAAAACTGGCTAGACCGTGCTATTTTTACACAGGGGCGGCCGAACGAGTTTTGTGGCCTAAAGCCAAACTTTACGAGGGGCCTCAACTATTTTACGAGGGGCCTCAACTTTTTTTTTTTATAAAGAAGAATATTTATTTATTTGATATCTATTTTTCTAGCTAACTTAGATACAAAGTTATTAATATTTTTCTTTTAATCAATAACTCCTAATAAGTCTTTCTTTATTGACAATATAGCTAATCCATTTAACTTTTCTCGAGACATTGTTGATCTTGGGTAAGATGTTATCAATTTTGATTTTGAAAACTTCTTTCTGATGAAGCGCCGGTAACAAGAGTTATTAACATTATTCCATAAGCAATATAGGTATTGAAAAAAGAATCAAATCTTTTTATATGATCGAGTGTATCAATTAAACTGTTATCTTCTAATAGTTCTATTTTTCTTAACACTTTTAATTCCGAAAATAAATCTAAATCATCTATATCGAATTGATTATTATGCTTTAAGGAACATTCAAGATTATGACAATTTTTTTTAAATTTTCATCATCTAGTGATCTTAATTTTTACTGCTACAGAGGAAGCCGAAAATATTTTCATATGTTTCGAATTGTTCAAATTTATTTTGAAGTGAAAAAAATAGCCTTGTCTACTATGTATAAAGTAATCAACTCCAAAGTACTCTTCGAAAGAGTTTGAGATTTTATAATCAACATTCTCATCAAATTGTCACTTCCTGTATATCACACGCTTCTTACGAAATTCGGGTTCGATATTTATTTCAAGTGTAATTTTCTTGGCAAAAATCATAGCAGTTGCAAATCCTCTCTATACTTGTTAAAGAAAGAAATTAAACTTTTTCACTTCATATAACCTTTTTTTAAACTTATACATAACCTATTAAGTATAACAAAAAATGGGGCCCCCGCAAATATGGGGCCTAAAGCCGTTGCTTTACTTGCTTTATGGAAGGGCCGCCCCTGTTTTTACATATGGAACTTACCGAGCATATGGCCCCTTACCATAGGGACCAATTCTAAATTCTGGAAGTTTCCGGTGTATTTAAAGGCTGAAAATCAGACAACGTGATAAGGTTTTGAACGTATTGGATAACAGCCATAAATTAAGGCTAGGAGAAGGACAGCGTCAGCGGGCGTTACGAAATGCTTTTCACTTGCCAGTTAAGGGGCTAAGGCATGGTCCATGGGGCGTTGGACATTACTTTCACTCTCCTGTTTCGTTATTACAGCCATGAGCCATAGCCTGGGGCAAATATATACCTTTACAGGTGCTTTTGTTCGTATATTGCCATAACTAATCTTAACTGCATTATACTTTAGTAGATGGATTGATATCGCATTACATTCCATCCAGCAACATGTTCTTCTACGTAGACTCAGAGGAAGCTTTGTCCCAATAATAGCCACGAATTCGTGGAAGTTTTTAAGGTTTAAACAAAATTTTAATTTGGGATTCAGTACTAGGCTCGGGTCTCTGTTTTCTGTTCGGCAGTGTCTAGAGAAGTTCACTATCAGCACATAGTGATTGAATGTTATCTGTTCTGACTTAAGAGAATAGTCTTTGAAATATATATTTTACTCTATATATGTTGGTAATCAGTGAAGCAGAGAAACATTAGTTTAATAAACAAACCAGAAAAAATAATTCCGAGCCCACAAGCTGTTTGTGTGTCCTTAAGGAATTTAATCCCCTCACTGTTGCCCAAGGTTTTGGATTAATTCCTCCCAGGATAGAACGGAATAACTATTTTGTAATACTAGCAATTGAAATAACAGAATTTCAGCGAACTCAACAGACGGAGCAAATCACACTTGAACTTATGTTTATTTGAAAATAATGCAACAATATAAAAAAGAGGGGAGAAATTTTTAGATTTTCCATGTTTGAAAAATGAGGCCAAGCCTACAAATTTATAGACAAATGAAGGGTGATATGGAGAGGTGCAATCCAAAAGGTGCCTCTTCCATTTCCTATTCATACCCCTTTAATAAAAACGCAACAATCCTCCACATGAATGGGGAATGGACATATGTGAAAAAACATGCATGAAAATACTGTGTGATTCGCAAGTAAGGATTAATCGCATCTGGATAAGTAGGTTTCCCTTTGAACTTTCCGTAGTGAACTTATGTCGTATATACTCGGTCAATCGTTAGATTTGATATCTTTGAACCGTCGAGCTTTGGTGTATATCTAGACAACCATAAGTCACATAATCAATCCTTAACCGTCTTTGGTTATCACGGTTGTGTTCGTTTCAGCCATGAACACCCCCTGGTTTCATGAGTGCTTAGAGAATGGGCCTTTACTTTCATTCCCCTTAAACCGGCTTACACTTCACACTCACATATGTGATTTCTAAACGTGTGATCCTATAGACACACTATCTGGTCATATCCTGCTAGACTTAGCAAATCATTAAAAAACTTTAAGCTTTAATGACTCATCAAAAAGCCTTAATGCTTTACCTTGATTTTTGAACATTGTCTTTATCACGAGAATGGGTTGAGTTATTTGACAATGTTGAACCGTCATTCATAACTTTGTTTGATCTCTTTGAACCTAGCTCTTGGGATCTCCTGTCTGCTAGGTAGAGTTACCGCCATGATGACTTGTATTAGGACTTAGCCCCATTCCCTTCGATGATCTTTCAACTGCCTCTCTAGATAAGCCTTTTGTAAGTGGATCCGACACGTTATCTCTTGACTTTACGTGGTCAATCATGATAACACCACTAGAGAGTAGTTGTCTAACGGTATTGTGTCTCCGTCGAGTGTGACGAGATTTTCCGTTATACATAACGCTCTCTGCCCTGCCTATTGCCGCTTGAATATCACAATTTATACATATAGGTGCCAAAGGTTTGGGCCAAAATGGAATTATCTTCCAAGAAATTCCGGAGCCATTCAGCTTCTTCACCAGCCTTGTCTAAGGTTATAAACTCAGCCTCCACTGTAGAGCGGTCAATGCACATTTGTTTGGACGATTTTCAAGACATCGCTCCTCCACCGACGGTTTAGAATCGATTGAACCGGTGATCAAATTTACATCACTATACCCCTATATTATCGTGGGA